TCATCATCATCATCATCATCATCATCATCATCATCATCATCATCATCATCATCTTAATATAATGGAGCTCCACCCGTTTATGAGGTCAGTATACATTTTTTTTTACACAAATGCCAATAAAATCTTCAAAATATGATTTAGTTATGAATATTCACAAAGGGTTTCGTGGGCATATTTTCAAAATTTGGAAACCACCTTTTGATTTTTCAGGTTTGATTGTTTTTCCTGTAGATCGTATCTCTCAGATGTTCTCACTCTGCCGTAAGCCAATTCATATTTTACTGGGGAATACAGCATCAAACACAGAGAACTGGATGCCAGTCGCAAGAACTCGACTTACCTGAATTTACCTTCTGTCCAGCTAAAGGGCCAACCTATCAGGAATGAGGTCAACGTGAATGTCTGCAATGCTACTGTCAGTGAAGAGGAATGAAAGAAACTAGGAGACATGGAAAAGGTGCTCCTAGGTCCCACGACATTCTGCCGAGATTTCAATGCACGAGGGAGTGGCCGGAGCAATTCAACAACTAACCCACAAGGAGTTGCTCTTAGGGCGCCCTAGACTTCTGCAACCTAACATGCCCAACGATGGAAGTATTACAGTGAGTGGGTGACACTGATGGAGCTATTGATCTGGCCTTGGTCTCTCTACAAACTGCCACAGGTTGTACATGGCGGGTCCTTGGATATCATGGAAGCGAGGGACCACTTGCAGTGCACAGGGCTTGTAGGGGAATCGCCAAAACCGCGAAGACAACAAAGACATTCGCGTGTGACGTCAGGGGCAAAGACTTTATCAGCAGTCTCAGGAACAAGGCAATCCCAGCCAGGAGGGTGAAGCAAGTGGAGACCACCCAGCCGCCATGATGGAATGATGAGCTGGACAAATTGTGGAGAGCAAAAAAGAAGGCGTTACAAGCTTACCAACGTGACCGAGAGAACCGAGACCTGAAAAGAGCAGAGAAGGAACCTTCAGGACTGTTCAAGGTCGTAGCGAAAGAGGCTAAGGAAGCCATTCATGAACATTTTTGTCAAGAGGTGACAGATGACAAGGCACTCTACAGATTCTGGCAGCTGTACAGATCAATGATGAAAAAGAAACCGGCAAAAGGTCTACCAGACATCCAAAGGGAGTAAGACGTGTGGGTGCGGTCAGACAAGGAGAAAGGTAAGGCGATGTTTGTCCGATATAATCAGCACACAGACCAGGGCAACGAAGAGGAACGAAAAAGGCTCCAACAGATGACATCACAGTCAACAGAGAACGAGAGTTGATATATTTTGTCTTTGGTAACTTGCAGTCTAACACAGATCCTTCCCGGCTGGCTTCCAGCTGCATTATCTGTCCCACCAACACAGAAATAGACAGAATCAACAACATGATCATGCAGACCTTTCCCGGAGAGAAAAAAGTCTACAGGAGCAGTGATTCAGTGGAGAAAAAAAAATGAACACCAATACACAATTCTCTATGTCCGTCAGGTATGCCACTCCACAAACTGGTATTGTGGAAAGACAGAATGTTCATGTTGTTGAGAAATCTGGAACCCACAAACAGCCACTGCAGCGGAACTTGATATGTTGTTCAACACCTTCATCAACACGTAAGTGATGCTGTCGTCGCTTGCACTCCACATGTCGGAAAGAGACTTTTCACCCCAAGGATTCCTGTCGTGCCTTCAGACAACATAAATCCCTTCCATATGCGAAGGAAACAATTTCCAGTTAGATCTGCTTTTGCAATGACTGCCAACAAATCTCAGGGACAGACTTTGAAAAGGATTGAGATTTCTTTACAGGGCGATTTTTTTCACATGAACATTTGAATGTCGCAGTGAGTCGTTTTGGGTTCAGAGACTCTATTAGAATACCTGCAAAAGACCTGCTGCCCAGGATGGAGTTCCAGATGGCGCATATGCTAGCAATGGTGTCTACATAGAGGTCCTACGGCAATGAATCAGGTACAAACATTTTTACTTGGGACTTCCTATCACTATATCATCGTTGGTAGAACGGGTCTGTATTTTGTAATAACAATATGCAAGAAGAGAAATGGAATTTGAGCATTTGTACAGATGATTGGGTTATACAGGTGGCAGTGAGGGCAGCTTCGACTGTTCATTGGTCAACTCGACGGCCAGATCTGGTCCGCTTCTATCGTTGCCTGCTTTACCTCTTCCA